GGTAACCAGAACAGAATATGGTACCAAGAGAGTGGGGTGCTGCTCTGACAGATACCTAAAATGTGGAAACAGGAGTGGAGTGCATCCTTGACCCGAGACCCTGGTAGAGAGATCCCAGCATATGTCATGAGAGATGGCAGGAGCAGAGCCAAGAGACTAGTAGAGAGATACCAACCGAGAGACCAGCACAAAAGACAGCAGTAGTAGAGCCCAGAGACCGGCATAAAACAGCAACAGGCTTACCAGCCCACAGAGGAGAAAGCTGGATGCCATTGCGTAGGCGGTTTCCTGGTTGCCTTTGGGCATTAATCAGCAGAAGCAGAGAGACTAAGGAAATGAAGCAGAGCTGCCTCAGCCTCAAAGGGTAGGACTATGGCCTTTGGGGATGGAACCACCACAGTCCCCTAGGTTCCAAAGAGCCAGGCCTTCACCAACTTGGTTCTGGAGTGTGGGGCTGCTCGCTCATGTGAGCCAATGGGATGGAGCCAAAGCTGCTGCCCAAGAGTGAGGGGGTGGGGCTGCCATTCTTCTCTCCAAGAGGGAGAGGAATGGAGTCTGCCAGGCCAAGGGGATGAGGTTGCCATTTATAGGAACTGGGGGACTGGAGCCACCTAGTGAGAGAGATCTGTACAGATGCTACCCAATGAAGATCTGTACAGGTACCAAGTTGACAAGGGGTGGAATTGTGGTAGTTAAATATGTATGCCAACTTGGCTGGGCCTGGTTGAGTGACTGGGCAGCTGGTGGAGTTATTTCCCATGACGAGACTGCTAATCAATTCCATGGTGGAATCTACTGGGAGCAGCTGAGTAGCTGCCTTAGGGAATGTGGTCTGCTTCCTGTATATAAAGAGAAGCCTTGGGGAACGGTCTCTAGCTTATGGCACACTTGAAGCCTGCATGTAGCTATGTCATTGTTCAGCAGCCTGCCATGCTCTGTTGACCTGGAGACTTACAATGGACTTTAATTATTGGCCTGCCATGTAGTTTGGTAATATCAGAACTGTGACTTTTTACTTGTCAACCTTGGGCTTGGCAGCCTCAGCAGCCAGCAGCTGTTTGAGTGAAGAAAAACCTCCAGCTTCAGTGGGCTGGGAGCTGGAGGCAGAGCTGAAGCCCAAGGCTGAGAAGCTTTCACCCAGCCCCGAGAGCCTGGCACTTTGAACTCAGACTTAAAGCCTCCAAACTGTAAGAGAATAAACTTCTGTCTGTTAAGGCCATCCCATTTGTGGTATATTCCTGTCAGAGTGGCACTAGGTGACCAGAACAAACACCCAGGGCTAACAACAAGGAAGGATTCTCACTAGAGCTGATGCCCTGATTTGGACTTCTAGCCTCCAAAACCGTGAGACCAAAAATTTTGTTCTTTTAAGTCACACCCACTTGTGGTAGTTTTTGTTATAGCACCACTAGGTAGCTGAGACACTTACTGAGTCTAATATATAAGCAGTGTTCACCTCCCTATTTAGAGAAGCTAGGGCATCCCAAGTTGATGTGTTGTGTGTGTGCTGGGACTGTGAAGGACTGCCTCAGGGCAGAGGGATAGGGGAAAACACACTCTGTGTCTTGCCCTTCACTCACCTTATTCTATGAAATGGGCACAACAGCTGGAAGAAAAGAGACAGCAGGGCTCAGAGATGTGAAAATATTTGTGGTGAATGACTTAGCCTCTCTCTGCCTGTTACCATCCTCATCTGAAAAAAGGAAGGTAATCGAGGTCCCTACTTCATAGGATCTGTGGCAGTAGGGGATGATTTATTATTTGGAAAGGGCTTAGATGGTGCATTTGGTTCTTAATAAGAAATTACAATTATTATGAGGCTGGAACACAGAAGGGAAATCCTTTTTTCCAACTTGCTGTTTCCATGAGGAAGGATTTGACCTGAGAACACCCTTAGCCCCTCTCTATCCCTTCTTCACTCCCTGCTAAGGGGAGGTGGGGCAATAGGTAAATTGAGAATGAACACACCAGCATTGCTCAGCCCAGCTTCCTTTGAAGAGGAAGATGTTTGTGTACTTGGGACCCCTCCTCTGTTCCTCTAAACTCTTACTATTCCTTGGGAAGCTCCTTATCCCCCTAAAAGGGCACCTAACTGGTGGCCCTGCCTCCTTCCGGGGTGCTGGGGTTGGGCACACCTTCTGGCTCTCACACTAACCCAGCCTTTGTCAACAATGAAAGTGCTATCTTGGCCTCTATCTGTCACTTCCTTATTTTATTTCTCATTGGCTCAAATGCTGTGTGCAGTAGATGGAGGTGATTTAGTGGGAGCCTTCAGAGACCCTTGTACTGGGTCTTTATGGCTTTCAGCTCCTCCTATGGCATCAAACTACAGTCAGAATCTTCCCCATGGTTTTCTGAAAGAACTTCATTACAACCGTCACTGTGACATCTAGAATAGCTTTAAATCGCTTCTTGACATTTTGTCTTTAAACTTTTGGAACTCCACCTAAGAGAAATATATCTACTGTTGACCTTCAGGCACAGTGGAAACATCTCTGTCCCCCACCGTATCTAATACCAAACCCTCTGCCATCAAGATTCCAAATGACAGCGACCCTGTAAGAGTAGAACTGCCCCCATCCAGTTTCTAAGGCTGTAAATCTTTATAGAAGCAGACTGCCTCTTTCTCCTGCAGAGCAGCTGGTGGGTTCGAGCTGCCAACTCTTTGCTTTGCAGCCCCATGCTTTAACCACTGCACCACCAGAGGTCCTTCCACTTTCTTCTCAGCTACTACAAGTCTCCCACATGTAGCATAGCATCGTAAACTACACATGTGCAATATTTTTATTTCCTGGAGTCTCTCACTCCTGGCTTGATAGAGATGAATACATAAAGTTTTGACAAGGCAGCAGGGGTGTTGATGATGCTGGCCCTGGCACTATTGGGGAGCTGTCATCATGTTTATCAACAAATGGATTAGCAACAGATGGAAAGGGTGTTCTTTGAAATGAGTGTAGCTAATGAAGAAAACAAATGCGCACTGATGTAGTGATTGCTGTGTGAGATAGAGACAGCTATCTGCCATTGAGTTGCTCCAATTCATAGCAACCTCATGTACTACAGAATGAAACGGTGCCTGGTCCTGTATCATCCTCACCATCACCGGCACGTTCAAGTCCATCGCTGTGGCTATCATGCCAATCCATTTCTGTTCTGTTAACCCACCCAATTTGTGATACTTTGCTGTGGCAACCACAAGAACCCAATACACCATAGAACCATGGCTCCCAAGTACACATCCCTGGAGAGCTCACACAGAACACAGGAGACAAGACTGCTGGAGGAGGACAGGTCTTGGGCCTTTGATTTTATAAGTCCTCCAGATGAGTTGGATAGGACCAAAGTTAGAGAGCCATTGACTTAGAACCTTGCTGCAAAAAGTCAAGTCCATGGAGTAGCAATGAAGGCATTACCTGGGAGCTTATCAGAAATGCACAATTTCAAGTCATGGCTCTGCCCCATTGGATCAGAATCTGCAGTGTAACAAGCTGCGAGGGGATCTGTATGCACAGAAGCCTAGTATAGCCCAGGAGGGAACACATTGGGGACTATCAGTTATTGACCTCCAATTTGCCAGGTATACACTACCTCATTTGATTCTCATGGCAATGCTGGCAGGAGGGTATCATTTTGCTCATTTTACAGAAGACACTGAGGCTCAGAGAGATGAGTGACTTTTCCAGAGCCCCAAGGTCAATGGTGGGAGAGCTGGAGTCTGGATCCTGAGGATTTCCAACCCTAGATGCCATGCTTATCCCCACTGCTGCTCTGTCATCCTCACACCAGAACATGAGTATCTCCAGACATGAAACCATCAAATACATGGGACTCAACTGACCATGGCAGGCTGTAGACCAGGACATTTACACCACTAGAGTTGAAGAAAAATCATTTTCTACCCATTTCCATTGAGTGGATTCCAACTAATAGTGACCCTATAGGACAGAGTGGAACTGTCCCATAAGGTTTCCTAATGGTATGCATGCATACAAGGCTATTGAAAAGACCATGGGTCTGATGAACCTTAATCCTCAGAGTGACACCTTTGCTTTTTGACACTTTAAAGAGGTCTTTTACAGCAAATTTTCCCAATTTGAACCAAACCCTACTCACAACAGACACTTCATCATAATCATCTTCACTTGGTGCAGCTTTTACATCACTGAAAAGGCTTTGGCGCTTACACTATCAAAACCAAAAACCAAACCCACTGCCTTCAAGTCAATTTTGACTCCTAGTGATCCTACAGGAAAGAGCAGAACTGTCCTATAGGGTTTGCAAGGCTGTAAATCTTCACAGAAGCAGATTGCCACATCTTTCTCCCAAGAAGCAGCTGGTGGATTTGAACTGCTGACCTTTTGGTTAGCAGCCAAGCACTTAACCACTGTCCACCCTAAAATCCAACTACCAGAAGCTGCCTTTTACCCAATGCATCAAACTTCCCATTGCAGTCCTCTCTATAAAGCATCCACAGCAGGCTTACCATGCTCATCCAGTAAGATGTTGTCAGGTTTGATGTCTCTGTAAAAGAAAACAAAGAAGCCAAGGCTGTGATACCAGGTGTTGAGTGGTGAGTTCATGGCAGATACTATGCTTCAGGACAAAGCTCTGACAGCACCTGGTGAGCTTGTCTCCCCGCTGCAGTGTGAGGTCCTCAGACAGAAAACAGGAGAATCATTGGGCGATATGCACCACCTCTGTTCTTTCATCTTTTTCTTTCCTGGAACTGCACATGGATTGTTTTGGATATTGTTCCCTGAATATTATTAACAATGGCTGGCCTCTCAACTCCAATGATAATGATCACAACGATGTTCCAGTTGGGTTGCTGTCAAGTTGATTCTATCTCACTGTGACCCCATGTGACAGAGTAGAACTTCCTCACAGGGTTTTCTAGTCTGTAAACTTTATGGAGTAGATTGCTAGATCTTTCTCCCATGCAGCTGCTGGGTGGGTTCAAACCACCAACATTTAGGGGAGCAGCCAAGCACTTAACCATTGCACCACCTGGAGTCCTTCTATGATCACAATGGTGGTCACAAATACTCTTTGCATGCCTGGTCTGTGCCAGTACTTTCTTATCCTGGTGTTATTTAACTCTCTTAGCAAAGTCACACACAGGCATTATAGTCTGCACATTGTAGACATGGGAACTGGGGCTCAGGGAGGGTAACTTGTTCAGGTCAGAAGTCAGCAAACTAAGGCTTAAGGGCCAAATCCACTCTCAGTGTGTTTTTGCATGACCTGTGAACTAAGAAAGGCATTTACGTGGTCAAGGAGTTGTAAATGAAAACAAAAGAAAAAGAAAACCAAAAACAGAGGAATGTGTGACAGACCACAGATGACCTGCAAAGCCTAAAATATCTATTCTGGGCCTGTTGTGGATTCAACCATGTGTCCCCAAAAAAAGTATATTGAAGTCCTAAGACCTATACCTGTGAATGGCACCCTACTTAGAAATAGGGATACCTTCTGTTATGTTAAAAGGAGTTCTGGTGTCAGACGTCTGGTAAAAGGGAGGAATAGGCAGTCAAGCTACACAGACCCTCTTCAACAAAGAAAAGAGAAACCAATTGATAGAGATACAGAAGATAATCCTGGAGCCCTGAGCTTTGAAAGGAAGTATACAGAAGTGGATTAGGCACCAACTAGTGGAAAAACCTGAATGAAAACAGTGAGTATGGTGATGGTTGGAGCTGCAGACTGTCAGCTACTCTGAGGGGACCAACAGCCTGATTATTTCCAAGTGGTATTGGGACCTGAGAATTGGCCTAAAGATGAGCCCTAGTCACCAAGGGCTGCAGGGATGACTGCATTAGTGGCCTAGGACTAGGAAGGGAAACAGCAAGGTAGGAGACAACCTGAGCCATGGACTTTCAGCTGACTGGAGGGTACAGCCATTTTGATTATTTACAGGCAGTGGCCATTTTGGATATCTGAGGTGACCGAGGGGGCAGCCATTTTGAATGTTTACAAGCAGCAGCCATATTGGATTTTAAAGTGACAGCATTCTCATTCAGATTCCAGGGACCTAAAATTAGGCTTCATTTGCCAAGGATGGCAGAGACATATGAGAGGCTGATAATGGGAAAGGAGACAGGTGGTGAGTATACAAGGGCTGCCAACTAGCAAATAGAGGAGCACAGTACCCTGCTTACTTAGGTAACATCCAAAGAAAATGAAAATAGTGGGCAAAGTCACTCCAACATACAATAATCAATTAAATATAAACACAAAAACATCACAATGCCTCAGAGACAACAGAGCATCACAGTGCACACAAAGAAGCAAGATAAACCAGGAGAAACAAGTGACCAGGATACAAACCCAAAACACATCCCTGTGGAAGATGCAGCATTGGAACTCCTTGACAAATAATTCAAAAGAATTATATTTAGGTACCTTCAATGGATTGAGATACAAATCAAGGAAAACACTGACAAAATTGAGGAAAACACAGAGAAAACCCTAGAACAATTTTGAAAGATAATACAAGAACAAAATGACAAAATAAATGAAAAATTAGAAGTGATACAAAATCTACAGCTAGAAATTCAGAAGATTAATATTAAATTATCAGAAACAGATAACACATTGAATGGGCAAAGGAGTAGAATTGAATCAATGGAAGACAGAATTAGTGACATTGAAGACAAATACCTCAATACTTCTCTGGAAAGGGATCAATCAGAAAAAAAAAGATCAAAACAAAATGAAGAAAGCCTAAGGTTCATGTGGTATACCATCAAAAGGAATAACCTACATATAACTGGAATTCCAGAGCAGGAAGAGAAAAATAAAACCACTGAGAAAGTTGTCCAATATTTGTTGGAAGAGAATTTCCCTGGTATGATGAAAGATGAAAATATATCCATACAAGAAGTCCAACAAACTCCAAACAGGATAGAGCCCTAAAGAAAATCACCAGACATATTATCAAACTCACCAAAACCAAAGGCATAGAAAGAATCCTGAAAGCGGCATGGGAAAAATGAAGTTATCTACAAGGGGCAACAAATAAGACTAAGCTCGGATTTCTTGGCAGAAACCATGCAGGCGAGAAGATAATGAGATGCTACATATAACACCCTGAAAGAGAACAATTTCCAACCAAGAATTATATACACAGCAAAATTGTCCCTTAAATAGATGGTGAAATTATGACATTTCCAGATAAGCAGAAATTAAGGGAATGTGTTAACCCCAGACCCAGACTAACCTTAGGAGCTCTGGTAGCATAGTGCCTAATGCACTTGACTCCTAACCAGGAGGCTGGCAGTTCAAACCCGCCAGCCACTCCTCAGAAGGAAAGTTGGGCAATCCTACTTCCATAATGAGACTGCCTCGGAAACCCAAGGAGGGGTCACTATGAGTCAGGGCCGATGCAACGGCACACAACAACAACAACACACTAACCTTACAAGAGATACTAAAGGGAATCCTTTGGACAGAGAACCAACAACAGCAAACCACAACTGACCATTAACACACATGATGACATAACCCAGAAACCAACCCGGTTATAGAAGTATCCGAAGTAAATAAGCCTACGAGATTGTAAACAGGGAACCAGAGACATCAATTGACAAATGAGGACAACTACAAAGCAAAAAAAGGGAAAAAAACTGTGTAGTTGCAGAACTTCTAAATGGTAAGGAAGTCAAGACAAGCACAAGATAGAATGAGCTGTTCTAAACTTGGGAAAAAAAACTATAAATCACAGGGTAACCTCAAAGAAAAATGATAAACCTTCATATCAAAATAAAAAAAGAGGACCAGCATAAATATTTAGCAAATACTAAAACAATAGCAATGAAGGCAGTGATAACATGATTCATAAACAAAACGAGCTCAGTACAGAAAATTATATGGAACAAAGAAATCAGGAATGCCAAGAAAAAGCATATAACAAAATAACAGCAACAAATTCATACTTGTTTGTAATTACATATCTCACAAGGGACTTACCTCTAAAATTTATAGAAAACTCCAAAACCAAAACAACAAAAATATTAACAATCCAATTAAAAAATGGGCAGACAACATGAATAGACACTTCACCAAAGAGGATATTCAGGTGGCCAGCAAATACATGAAGAAATGCTCATGATCATTAGCCATCACAGAGATGCAAATAAAAACAACCATGAGATACCATCTCACCCCAGCACTAATGGCAAAGTTCAACAAGACAAAAAATAACAAATGCTGGCTAGGATGTGGAGAGATTGGGACTCTCATCCACTGCTGGTGGGACTGTCAAATTATACAACCACTATAGAAAACAGTATGGAGATTCCTTAAAAAGCTGGAATTAGAAGTATCATTTGACCCAGAAATCCCATTACTAGGTAGCATAGTGGCTAAGACACTTGCCTGCTAACCAGA